GAACAAGAGACATAAAGATTAGTTACAATTTGCACACAGCAGCGTTCTCTCTGCACTCCCTCACTCCCTGTCCTTCCTCAAAGTCTCCTCTGGGGGCTGCTGTACCTATGGATGCCCACCTCTGCAAAGTACCACTCCATCTCATTCCAGAAGAAATGCTAGCTTAATTCAAGACGAGCAAAATCTGCCATATCCACCCTTTTTGTTATTTAAATAATGGACTTCTGTCTTGCTAATAAACCACATCTAAGAAGTATGCAGCTGGAAACTTCTGACCTCTACCTGTACAGCTATAATCAAACATACAGTATGCTCTCAGTGAGGGACAGCTTTTACATAGAACCTTCGAGTATTTAGTGACTTAAATTGCAGACACACTGTATATATCACAAACAGAGAATTATTCACAGAAAATCCAAATATTTAAATAAGATAGTACCATTAAAAATACACCCTACTATTTCAGTACAAAGTCTAAGCTGCAGATGGCTGCCGTATACCCTACTGTTTCAAAAAATACACATACTACAAAAAAACCCTGTGGCTAGGAAAAAAGAACACCATAACCATGAACTAGGATCACCAATCTAACTCCACTATCTAACTGCACAGTAAACACTTTAACTATATTCTGAAGAGACAGCCTTGCTTCAGACTGAGGTTTTAAGATTAACTCACTAAAAAAAGAAGAAACAGAACATTTTCGTTTGCATCCCTGCATTTAAGCACTGCACAGATTTTAGATTTATGTATGACACTTATTTTTAACAATGTCGTAAAAACAACACCGAAGTATACAGCTGCTGAGAATGGAAGAGTAATTTCATTGTAATCTAGTCTTTCCCTTTCCCTTTGCTCCCCACTGCACCATTCGAGAAGTTTTGAGTCCCACCAGGGTAACAGTGCGGATTCACAAGGCATTTCCACTTAAGCTTGAGATACTAAGGACTATCACAGCTTTGGCTCCCTTAACCTCTGTTCTCAGGAGACAGAGCATCAGCTCAGTTAACCTGTCCTGCAGTCACAATTCTTAAATTTAACATGGTAATCTCGCAACTGAGTAAGAAGAAGAAACTTGCTTCAAAACTGAAAGTGACTGTCTAGGCTTCTACTGCCAAGAAAGTTTGGCTACATTCTCTACTAATCACCCTGCATTTAACATACTAAACAGATTGTAGTCCAGGTGATTTCCAGGAAATAAGAGGCACTTCATTACTTTTTAAGGAAAAAAAAGGAAAAGAAAAAAAAGAGAGTCTCTTATGGAACTAGATTTCTAGTTAGTGCAATTAACAATTGTTAACAATTAACAATTAAAACGAAATTTTAAAGAGTCACTGAAGAAATGCAACAACAATGCAGCATATAATAATTCAAAATGCAAAGTAACATGGCTTCTTGTATCTTTGAACCAAGACTTGAGAGAAGTTAATATTTAAGTGGGTCAAAAAGCGGAATACCTTTGTATATTACTGTATGACTGCTCATTCATTTATGTCCAACAAAGTAATTTTGTGTTTCCCACGATGTTTCTACTTATGAGGAACACATTATGACATATAATGCAGGTGAAAAAAAAAATTCTTTAGTGTACTCTGTTGATTTTGTACTAAGCTGTTACGGTGATATTTTAAAAACTACCTCTAGGAACTAACTTAACTTTCTATTTCCATTTTGAGATTTTTTTTTTTCCTTTAATGAAAGATTCCCCTCTATGTTGCTAGGGAATATTTCTCATACGCACAAAGCATCTTCCTAATTTGCTGCCTAAATGTGCGAAGCTTTTTCTTTACTTACCCAATCCCTGAACCAGTAAAATACTTCAACACCTATTTAACTTTAGACAGATGAACTGCCCGATTGAAATGCCCAGGATTACTCACATATGTAAAATTAAACACCTACTAAGTATCTTGCTGGCTACTGTTTCAATTTCACACTCAAAAATTTAAATTGCAACATTTAAAACCACCTTTTATAAGGATTTCTAGTTACAATTGTGAGCTGTTGTTGTTTCATGTAGACTTTCCATTTTAGCTTCTCAAAATATTAGTAGTTATTCTATATTTTTTAAATCTCTCAATTTTACATATCACAAATGTACACAATGAAATGTTCTAATTATTCTGCTATTATTACCTTGTGTAATAAACAATACACCCAAATTGCCTTTCAAAATGCTAATAACTACTCTTCCAAAGTAATATAAATCAGTCACAGTACCTACTAAATGGCAATTGAGAGCTTCTCCAATGAAATAAAAATAATCAGGAATTACAAGCTTTTTGCTAAATACCTTTACTGAGTTAATTGCACTTTTACACCATCCAGCAACTTTCTTTCCAATTGGTGATTATTTACAAAAACAAACAATAGAAAATACCACTAAACCCAAAAACCCCCAACACAAAACACTTTAATACTAGCTTCTCCCCTAGACAAGAGTCACACATATTTTAAACTTGCTTTAAGTTATATTTAATCTAGACTGCCAGCAAATTTCTGGCTTAGTATAATTTTTGAAACACATTATGAAAAGCTCAGCACACCAAATCTAGCTTGACTGACACTTCCCACAGTGAACTTTATTTTCAGCTGCTTATCACTTTGCCAAGAGGTCAGCTGCTTGCATCTAAAGCCTCTAATGTTCAACCATGGTAAGTATCAATGCAACAGGACTATGCAATAAAGGAGACATCTGCAGAACTTTTTCATTTGTTACAGGAGGGAAAGGTATTTGCTGTAGGAGGGAAAGGTAAATGGAAGTACAGTGCAGGATAAGAAGAAAAGTAGAGATGCAGCAAAAACCTGCAAGTAAGAACGGGATTAGAGGCGGTTCTGAATTAGGTCATAAAAAATTCTGAACGTCTGGGTGTTGGATTTTCTAAATACAATAATGGTTGTAGTAATTATTATGTACTACCACCGTATATACTATTGTTGACAAGCATGTTAAGCAAAAGCTTATTACAGCCTAGTTCAGTCTTTTCGACTTACGATATGACTGCATCACTGGTCATGAGGTTAAGCTGGTATTTGTATGTGGCACTGCTGTCATGTCCATTCCTCAGGCGCCTCCTCTCGGAATTTGTTACTAATCACACCCAGTCCATGGGAGGGACAAAGGTGGATACTTTCTCCCACTCTTCCACCTCTCCTTCCACCTTGAGCCTTATTATAACAGCTTTTGAGAATTCTGAATATCCCTGGGATGCCCAAGCCAGCATGTTCTTATTGCTGTGTCTCCTGAATGTGTCCCAGGTATTGTTCATGGATAAACAACATTTTTCCAAGAATACCACCCAGAGATCTGCCCTGAGACTGAATAATTATGAGCGGCAGTGTGCGTGGGAGAGTATGGGCAAGTGCCTAGGACAGTGATCACCCTCAGCATTCTGGAAAATCCTGAAAAACTCGTAAAACATTTGGAAAAGGTATGCTGTCACCCTGGCAATTCCAGAGAGTCACAAACCACTGTAACATGCTGGGGCCTGGCCCATGCCTACTAAGCCCTTCTCAACACTACTCAGTGCCCTCAAGAGGAAGACAAGGTCTCTGGCCCTGAAAACAGACCAATAGGCACTACAGCTGAACAAGAGAACTAACCTGTGCCGGTCTCAGTTGCCCCTATACAGAACAAGAAGTACACAAAGGAATCAGTCCGCTTAGCAAGGGATGAAGGTGAACCAGGGTCATCACGAGACCAGGAGGAAGAGGCAGAACCAGAGACAATCATCGATCCCTATCCCTGAGTGAGCTGCGAGATATGCGAAAGGATTTCGGCCGCCACCCAGGTGAGCACATTGTCACCTGGCTGCTCCGATGCTGGGATAACGGGGCCAGTAGCTTGGAATTAGAAGGTAGGGAAGCCAAGCAGCTGGGCTCCCTGTCTAGGGAAGGGGGCATTGACATAGCGATTGGAAAGTGGACACAAGCCCTCAGCCTCTGGAGGCGACTCCTGTCAGGCGTGAAGGAGAGGTACCCCTTCAAAGAAGATGTCACATGTCACCCAGGCAAGTGGACCACTATGGAGAGAGGTATCCAGTACCTGAGGGAACTAGCCGTGCTGGAGGTGATTTATAATGATCTAGATAACGGTCAGTCACCTCTGGATCCAGATGAAGTCCGATGCACACAATCCATGTGATAGAAGTTTCTACAAAGTGCACCACCATCATATGCCAACTCATTGGCAGTAATGTACTGGAAAGAAGGTGAGGGACAAATGGTGGACAAATTGGCTAGCCAACTCTGGCAATACGAAGGAAGTCTCTCTTGTTCCCTACAGGCCTGTGTCTCAGCCATGGAGAAACTGTCCCGGGAGTTCCCACAATTTGAAAAGGATCTGTCCTACTCCCCACCTGTACGGACTCATATCTCAGCTATAAGAAATAAGGCAGTCCTCTGCTCACGAGGGAGAATGCAGAAGGTACACACCACGGGCTACTCTGTGGTTTTACCTGTGTGACCACAGAGGGGACATGAGGAAGCAAAATGCAAACCCCACTTTGGTCCTAGCTGCACGGGTATCTGAGTTGTGGGGGAAAACCACCACAAAAGGAAACTCTTCCTGGGCGGGGGAAAACCACCACAAAAGCGAACTCTTCCTAGAAAGATGCCACTCCAGTTTCCAGTAGGAAATTCCCCAGACAGGGTAGAAAGGCTGATCTTATGTCTGATCCTCATGAAGGCACTTTTAAGTTATTTTCACAAAGTGTGAAAGAAGTGAGTGATTCTGATCAGGATTAGAGGGGCCTTCCCCTCCAGGCAGGGGGAGGAAAGGGACAACTGAGTTTATTGGACTGTGTGGGTCTGATGGCCTGGCATGTCAGATCCACAGCAGTATAAGGCTCTAGTAGACACCTGTGCACAATGCACCCTAATGCCATCAAGCTACAGAGAGGCAGAACCCATCTGTATTTCTGGAGTGACAGGGGGATCCCAACGGCCAACTGTACTGGAAGTGAGGTGAGTCTAACTGGGAATGAGTGGCATAAACACCCCACTGTGACTGGCCCAGAGGCTCCATGCATCCTTGGCAAAGACTGCCTCAGGAGAGGGTATTTCAAGGACCCAAAAGGGTACCATTGAGCCTTTGGTATAGTTGCCTTGGAGACAGAGGAAATTGAACAGTTGTCCACCTTGCCTGGTCTCTTGGAGGACCCTTCTGTGGTGGGATTGCTGAAGGCTGAAGAATAACAGGTGCAAGTCATTACCACAACGGTACATCAGTGGCAATATCACACCAACTGAGACTCCCAGATTCCCATCCATAAGCTGATTCATCAACTGGAAAGCCAAGGGGTGATCAGCAAAACTTGCTCACCCTTTAACAGCCCCATATGGCCACTGCAAAAATCTAACGGAGAGTGGACAGATGATGGTAGTGCAGTGAATGTGGTTTATCTTGATCTCAGTAAAGCATTTGACACCATCTCCCACAGCATCCTCACAGCTAAACTGAGGAAAAGTGGTCTAGATGATCAGGTAGTGAGGTGGGTTGTGAATTGGTTGAAGAAAAGAAGTCAGAGAGTTGTGGTCAATGGGACAGAGTCTAGCTGGAGGCCTGTATCTAGTGGAGTCCCTCAGGGGTCGGTCCTGGGACCAGTACTATTCAATACATTCATTAGAGACCTGGATGAGGGAACAGAGTGCACTGTC